CCAGTTGAAGTCGCTATAGCAGCCCCTCCCCGTGGGCCAGCTGGGCTGTGCTGCAGAAGGTTCCAGAACAGCCAAGCGGTGAAGTCCAGGCCAGACTGGCCTGACAGCACCCAAAGGAGACTGTCCGGGTGAGACTTGGGCCAGAGAGGCTTCCTGTCCTCGTCTCTGCCCCTCCCCCACTCCTCTTGGGTGAAGCCCGGCCACTAAGTGGAAGGAGAGTTGCGGTCCAGCAGGAAGGTGATGGTGTGCTTCAGCTCCTCGGCCTGCGCGGGCACAGGCATGTGAGGCCAGGGCTCCCCAGCCAGCCCCCTGCCTCTGCCCCCAGCCCCACCACGCCGGAGCAGTGGGCAGAGGCCTGGGCCCAGGCTCCCGGGCACACCAGGCCTGGGTGAGGCGCTTGCCACCTTCTCAGGGCGCAGAGGCTACCCACCTGCGGCAGCTCAAACCAGATGGTCTGGGGGTTGTCAGCCGAGCCATAGTTGAGTTCCAGGCCAGGGGAGCTCTCAGGCCCCAGTGGGCTCAGCACGCGGAGCCGCTGCAGGTCCCTCAGGGCGATGGAGCAGCACAGTTCCTGGGGGCGGGGAGGGGGGACAGGGGGAGAGAGAGCAGAGCTTGGTCCCTCTGGGGGAGGGGTCGGTGTAGGTGGTGGGAGACGAGTGGCCCGAGGGTGCCCAGGCCAGCACTTGGGCCAGGAGCCTGGCCCACCTGAGAGCTGGGGTCCATGAGGATGAGGTGCTGGCGGTTCGACCCCAGCAGGCCAGGGCTGGGCAGGGCCGGCTTGCTCACTCTCAGCACCATGTAGACAGTGTAGCCAAAGAGGGGCAGCTCACTCACGGCCTCTGCGGATGGAGGGGTAGAGCAGGAGTTCTGACCGCTGGGGCCCTGGGACCTGCCGGACTTTGCCCCCAGGACAGAGGAGAGGGCAGGGCAGGTGGAGAGCTTCCTCAGCCCCTCCACCCTCACCCTTTCCTTGCTGGGGCTCCCGCCTCTGCCCCAGCTGCCCCCGCCTCTGCCCCAGCTGCCCCCTAGCCCCAGACCCACCTATGAAGCTGATCTGCGCTTCCTGAGAGCTGCATCCTTGCAACTGCCTCAGCTCCTGGCCCATCAGGCTCTTCACAGCGGCCACGTTCATCTGACATTGCAGCCGCTTCGGCAAGTAAGCCAGTAGGTCTTGCCTAGGACACAGCCTGGTCAGTCAAAGCTGGGCATACAGCAGGTGCTAAGTAGATGAACCAGTGGCTACCGTGGGTGAGACCCGGGATCCGGACACATGAATGAGGCATGGGCTCTGCCCTTGAGGAGCGTGGGGGGTGGGCAGGTGTACCCAGCCCCCATTTGGTTAGGGCCACAAAGGGTACAAGTGGCCTTGACCTTGGAGGAGGGGGTAGGGGTGGTGGGGTGACAGGAGGCATGAGGGCTGTGTTCACACTCACTCTGAGGGGGGCTCCTCGTGGTTCCTGCTGAGGTGCTGCAAGGCAGCCAGCCTGGCGAGTCGGGCATCTTCCTGGGCGCTGACCAGCAGCCTCCCCTGCAGGTAGTCCCGCAGCACCTGAGGGGGGAGCAGTGAGGGGGCAGCTGTGCCCCAAAGCCCCACCTAGTGGGTGGCTCCTGGGCCTCAAGCCCTCCCCTCACCCAGGGAGGGACTCTCCCTCAAGCTGCAGCCGAGGCTCCAACCACCAGCGGCGCGACAGCGCGGGGCCGAGTGGGGCTGACCTGGCCGTAGTGGGTGCTGACGTAGGTGGGATTATCGAAGTGCAGCGGGGTCTCCCAGCCGAGCCGCCGGCTGTGCAGGCTCACGTCCAGACCCACCACCTCGCTGTTGAGGTACTCCCGGGGCCACAGGGGCCGCACCAGCTGGCCTGCGCGGGGAGCCTGGGTCCACAGCCTGCCCTGCCGCCCGCCCACAGCCCTGCCAGCCCCAGTGTGGGAGCTGCCTCCCCCGTGGCCAGAAGAGCGGACTTGGCAGGCAAGGCCACGTCCCTGAGTCCAGCCGGGCCACGCTTCCTCCCCAGGCCAGGTGGCCTACCTTCCCCTTTGATGAGGAAGAGGGTAAATTCCTGCACTTCATGGGGATCCGTGATGCCCATCTGCCCACACATCTCCTCCAGCACTTCTGCTGCCACCTGGACATGCGGACAGGGCCATGACGGGGGTGCTGGGGAGGGAAGGAGGCTGCAGGGGGGGGAGGGATGTCCCCAGAACTGATGCCCACGGCTTCCGTGGGTCTCCCCAGCCCCTCCTCTGTGTCCCTGTGCTCACCGTGAAAGTGTGGGTGTTGGTCTTGTACTCCACACCCCCGGGCAGGTGAATTAGGAGCAGGTGGACTACTTGTCCTTTCTGCCAAAGCAGGTACGGGGTCAGCCCCCCAGTGGGCAGAGGCCCCGGCTCCCCCACCCAGAGGGAGTCCCAGAACACCCAGCCGCCTGCACCCCCCGTACCAGGAAAGCCTGCATTTCGCCTGGGGAGGGCAGCTGCCGGCGCCCCCCGTACTTGACTGTGCGCTGGAGGTGCCCCTGGCAGCGCCGGGCCAGCTCTGCAGAGAGGAGCCAGGCTGGGGTCGTGAGCATCCCCAAACCCCTCCCCAAGCAGCCGAGACCCCAGCCTGGAAGCCCCTCCCACTGGCACCTTGGCTCAGGGCCGAATGCTGCAGAAACTTGGTCACGTAGGGCATCAGCGAGGTTGACGGGGGAAAGTAGCCTGTGAGGAGGCTGAGGAAAGTCCACCCCCGAGCGCAGAGTCTCCTGCAGGGCAGAGAGCCTGGGCTTTGGGCCGGCCGGGCAGCAGCACTTTGGGCTTCCCCCGAGAGGCCCGCCACCGACCCCCGCCCGTCCCCCACACTCACGGCCGGGGGTGTCCTGTGACCTGCTTGATGGCCTGGCAGTAAATCTCATCCCTGAGGTTCTCCTCCTGGCACAGCTGTGGGGAGAGGAAGGGCCGGAGGTAGCGGGTCGGGGCAGAGCTGCCGTGCGGCGCGGCGCGGCGGAGTGACGGATGGCGTGGGATCTGAAGTCGGAGGAGTCCTGCCAGTGGCCGTGGGCTGGGGGCCAAGTCAGGGTGACAGCCCACCGTCATCTCTTGGTCTTGGTTTCACTCGGCTTAATAGCATCTGCACAACTGGCCACTCAGCTAAGTCGCCGTCTTTACCTGCTTCCAGGCCGTGCTCGGCCCTGTCCTCTTTCTCTGGTCCCTCTGTCTTAGTCATCTCTGCTGACCCCCCATCTCCTTGACCTCTGAGGGCTGCGGTGCCCTTGGGCCTCTGTCTGCTGATGACTGACTGCCGGTGCCTGCCTCCAGCCCAGACTCCTCCCATGAAGCCCAGACCTCCCCCTTGGAAGACTGGAACTTCAGACTTCACGCATCCCACACATTCCTCCACCAGGCCGGCCCCATCCTCACTCAGGCTTCCTTGTGGCCACCAGCGTTGCTCTGGCCTAGGCCGCCGTGTGCCCTCGGCCCCTCGTGCTCACACCCCACGTGCACTTCAGAGCAAACCCTGCTGCTTGGAGTCTTTCCCCTCCCCTCTGCTGCTGCCTCTGGGCCTGGGCCAGCTGTGTCTCACCTGGAATCGTGGCAGGAACCCTCTCCTTGCCTTTAAACTCCCAGAATCGCAAACAACCGCCAAAGCGACCCCACGAAATGTAAGCCACGTCTCTCTTCAAAACCCTCCAGTGTTTTCCCAGATCTCGAAAAATCCAAGTCCTGACAGTGGACCACAAGGTCCCCCGTGACCCGCACCCTCTGTCCCTCCTGGTCCTCGCCTCCACTCTCCCCCTTGCTCACTGGGCTGCAGCCACACTGGCCCTGCTGGGGCCGAGGCTCACCCCCGCCTCTGCCTGCGTGCGTGCCCCCGTGCCCTGCCCCCATGCATACGTGCCTCACTCCCTGGCCTCCTTCAGGTCTCTGCCCCAGGGTCACCTTGTCACCAAGCCTTCTGCACTGAAGCAGCCCCTCCCCTGCTTTATCACTCTCCACAGCACTCCTTGCCCTGGACACATTGCATCAGGGTTTACTGGAGTGTCTCCTCTAACCAGGCTGTAAGCTCTGCAGGGACTTGGCCTGCTTGGTTCACTACCCTGCCCCCAGCACGTAGGTGCTCGCTAACTAATTTTGGATGCTTCGAGTGTACAGTGACCAGGGGACAGGGGGTCCCATGGAGGCCCAGGCAGGAGGACAGGAAGGGGCCCTCAGGGCTCACTGACTCCCCACAGCTTCCAGCTCATTTTCCTACCTTCAGCAGCCCGTAGAGGAGATCCAGGTCGCTCTTGCCCCGGGGCTTGGACTGGTCCCCCATAAACTGCATCAGAGCTGCGGGCAGGATGAAAAGCACGGTGAGCTGGGCTGGGGGCCTGGCCCTGGCTCATGCTGTCGCTATGCAGGGCCATCTCATGCCTTGCTCTCAGAATGCGTGTGAGCCAGGCAGAGCAGCAGTCTCAGCTGTACCGACGAGGAGACAGGGTTGAAAGAGATTCTGTGGCCACCCAGGGCTACACCCAAGCACATAGCAAGCCGGACCCACCGCTGCCTTCCAGCCCAGACTCCACACAACCCACAGCCCCTTGGGCATGAGCAGAAGTGGGTGAGGGCCATGTGGTATAGGAGCCACCAGTGAGCTTCCCCGAGTTGGCGAACTTAAGGACAGAAGGCGACCAGGTGCCTGGGTCCCAGGCACTGCAGACGTGGCGGCCCAGGACACCGTGGCTACTTACCCTGGAAGCTTCCCACAGCCCGCCTGTTCACGTCCTCGTCACTGACGCTGATGAGGGAGGCCTGGATGGGAGCCTGCGGCCAAAGAGGCTGCCTGTGGGTCTGGGGCCGTGGGGGCCAGGGGGCAGGTCTGCTGTCCCAGCTCCTCCCCACCGTCCCCCTTACCTTGCTGTACTGCACCAGGCTGGCCATGGCCTTCCTCTCGGCATCTTCACCTGTCTGGCCCAGCCTGAGGGGGCAGAGGGGAGGACAGCCCCGCTTGCTCAGCCCTCCCACCCCCATCCCAGGCTGGGTAGGGAGGGTGCTAAGAGCCCTGGCCCGGTGGCTCTGAGCAGGGAGTGTCCCACTTCAGGGACACTGAGGATGGGCAGGCATGGGGCGGGCCCAGGGCACTCACAGGGTCTGGGGCTTCCGGAAGTGGCACAGGGCAAATTCCTGCATGGTGTAGTCGGAGCCTGTGGGCAGAAGGGTGACGCAGGCCGCAGACGGGGACAGGCTGGTGGCCAAGTTGTCACTGTGTGCCTGGCTCCGGGGGTGGGTGGGGAACTTAGGAGCACAGGAGACCTAGTGCCACCCGAGTGTCCCCTGGCCTGTCCAGCGGCCCTACCCAAGCCCCCGCCCCAGCCCAACCCAACCCAAGAGAAGGAGGCAGAGCAGCTGCAGTGAGCACACCACCAGAAGCCAGGAAAGTCGAGAGCTGTTTATTGAGCATCTTCCAGGTGGCACTGAACTAGCTACCACGAGGGCCACACAAGAGGCAGACCGCCCAGGCAGGGAGCTCACAGCCCTGCTGGGGAGGCAGGACAAGAAATCGGGAGCGGGCAGAGAGGCTGCATCAGACCAAGCGCTGCCCACCAGGCGTGGGGTGGCCCTCCGCCGCTCTGGTGCAGTCGAGCCCTTTCTTTCCTCGACTCCTAGTTAGGCCTCGCCTTGGCGTCTCCCGTCTTCCTCACCTCCGACGCCTTATCCCACTCTCTGTGCTGCAGCTGACTCTTGTGCCGGCCATTCCTCTGCTCCATCGAGAAGGAAAAGTCCGGAGCAGCAGCCGGCTGCACTATGTCAGCAGGCACCTCCGACGCCTTATCCCACTCTCTGTGCTGCAGCTGACTCTTGTGCCGGCCATTCCTCTGCTCCATCGAGAAGGAAAAGTCCGGAGCAGCAGCCGGCTGCACTATGCCAGCAGGAAAGAGTCCGGAACGGCCCCCGGTGGAGCCAAACTGCCAGCCTGGGGGAAACATCCAAGGACGGTGCCTCACCCTCCTGCCCCTCTGTCCCCCGGAGGCTCCGCCTCGTCTGCCCGCTGGGTGCCAGCCGCCCTGCTTGCCCCCGGGGATACCTGGCTCCAGAGTGGCCGCCGGCAACAGCTTGATGAGGTCCCCCCGCTGGAAGCTGAGGAGGCTGTGGTCGTCTGTGAGGTAGCTTCGCAGGGCAATGACGTAGCCGGAGTCCTGCAGGCGGGCAGGTGAGCGGCCAGCCTGCCTATGACTCCGTCCTGCCCGTCCCACCTGCTCCACTGTTGGCGTCACTCTCCACCAAGCGCCCCCAAGTTCCAGCCCCACCCCAGGCAGCTTGAAGGAGCTTGGCTGACGGCCCCGAGTCCAGGCAAACCAGACGGGGTACGACACAGCGGTGCTGGTGGCCCCCCGCCCGGCGCCCTGCCGGCCCGGCACTTGCCTTCTTGAGCTCGCTCAGGAGCAGCTCAACCATGGCCTTGATGGCTCCCGCCCGGACTGTGTGCAGCAGCAGCTGTTCACTCTTCAGTGACAGCTCCAGGGTGGAGCCAGCCAGGCACTCTACGCCCAGCACCTCAGCAAAGCTGTGCAGAGGGTGGGGCGTGAGCTGGGGGCCGTCTCGCCGGCCCACGCCACACCCCAGCCCAGGCTCACCTGTACGAGCGGAGAGTCCTCAGCTGGTCGGGGTGGAAGCTGGGGCTTTGGGTCACCTTGAGCAGTCTCAGCCCCCGGTGGGACACGGCCAGCAGCTGCACGTCGCTGCCACCCTCGCCCTGCCCGGAAGGTGGCTGGCTCACTGACAGGCTCCGGGCTCCCCGCCACCAGCCAAGACACCCTGGGGCTGCTCAGGCCAGTGCTATTCTTCGTCGGTTCCACTGGGGCCCAGCCCACCCCCAGCTCTCATCCTGCTGCGGAAGGCCAAGCTGGCCTCCAGCCCTGGGCGCTGCCATCCCCAGCCTCACTGACCGAGACGGGGAAGATGCGGGAGAAGTAATTGGCCCAGTTGTCCCTGGCGGCCACCACGATGCGCTTCTTGACACTGTCCTCAGCTGTGTCCAGGGAGTCCAGACCCACCTCCAGGTCTCCTGTTCGGCAGAAATGGCCCCAGGCCGTCCTCAGGCTCCCTCACAGCGGGGGCCCCAGAGTCTACTCCCTCCCTCTGGGCAGGCCCAACCCCCAGCACTCCGGCTCCCTGACTCCAGGGTCCCTGGACCCTACGCAGCAGGTCTTTCATCCTGTGCCTCTCGTCCTGGGAGATCCGGATGCACGACTCCGCAAAGGTGTCCCTCAGGATCTGGGGGCAAAGCCAGGCGGTCACCACCAGGTCCTGAGGCCACAGCCCAGCCCAGAAGCAGCCACGCATGGAGGAAAAGCTGGAGAGCCCCATAGGCACATGGGTGGAGCAGGGAGGGATGCCTGGCCTTCCGAGCCCAGGGCCACGTCCACCCGGAGCTCCCAGCTGCCTCCCTCAAGCTGCCGCTCCTCCCGTCAGCTGAGATAAGCCTCCCTGAACTGACAGGACTTGGGGGAGGGGAGGGGAGGGGAGGGGGAGGGGGGCAGCTACTATAGAACTGGGGAGAACAGACACGAGCGTCGGCAGCATCTAGAGGTGGCAGCGGGACAAGCACCAGTGGGCAGCCGCTGTGTGCCAGGCCTGTGTTGGGTGCTGTGTACGCTTTATTTTTAATCCTCGTCATAAGTCAAAAATGGCCCCTATTCCGAGGGATGTTGGGAGGATTAAATAAATGAAGGCAGGGCTTGAAACACACCAGCGTCCCCGTCCCGCAAGTGGGGCTGCTCTCCTGCCTGGGGTGGGGGCGGTCTGCCTGTACAGGTCCCAGGTGGGCTGGGCTCTCACCTGCTCACAGAGGAGCCTGAGGCAGTAGGGGTGGCTGAAGTTCTCCCGGGGGTAGAACACCTGGACGAGGGTGGGGGCGAGTGAGAGTGCGGCAGCACGGTGCCCCCCGCCAGCCCCCCTCCCGCCCCACCTCTGCCTCCCGGGCCAGAGGAGGTGGGGCTGGGGAAGCAGCCTCCAGTGTCTGTGTGTGGAGAGGAGATGCTAGGGCCCCAGGCTGGCGCCCCTACAGCCAGCACCCCGTCCCCGACCCAGAGAGGCCAGGCTGTGGCCCGCCCTCGCGCCCACCTCCTTGCGCAGGAACAACCTCCAGGGGGCGCTGGTGTAGGAGAAGCACACGCTGCCCGAGGGCACGAGCAGCTGGGTGGAGATCCCCTGGTCCCCCATGGGCTCCACAAAGCCTGGCGGATGGAGGGGCCGAAGGGCATCAGGCGAGAGGAGCTTCCCAAGCCGGAATGATGTGGACACGGGGAGAGAAGACCCTCGGCCCACTAGGGCCCCACGTGGCCCAGCTCAGTCCACCTCTGCTGCCTCCCTCCCCGCTCTCCGGCCCATCTCCGGCCCCCATCTCCAGCCTCCCACATTCCCCACTGTCCCTGACGTGCGTGGGCCCCCCCGACCACGTCAGCGGGGTCACTAAACTCCTGATGAGGCCCACGCCCCGTGACGGTCCCTCCGTGCCAGACAGGCCCCAGGGGTGCCCGCGCCCTGCCCCCCACAGGAACGCGGAAGCTGGGGCTCCTCACCCACAGCTCCAAAGTCCGGAAGCGCGAGCAGCTGACCTCAGCCGTGAGCGCTGAGAGGCCCTTGGGAATCCTGCCCCCGCCCCCCAACAAAGCCCACCGCCCAGGGATGTGGGGTTTCTCACTGTGCGGCTCAGCTGGAGGGGTCGCTGGGTCCCAGGCTGGAGGCAGTGGAGGTGCTGGCAGAGGCGGGGGTCTCTGTGCAGTGGGTGGGTTCTGGCCAAACAGCTCTTGAAGGGGCCCCTGCTTCTCCTTAATGGAGTTGGAGGGCACAAGCCATGGCTGGCCCTTGGGTCGAGGGGCCACAGCTGGTGGGGGGCCTTTCCCTGGGCTGGGGGACAGCGTCTGGGGAGGCACGGAGAATACACCCAGGCTGTGACTGGCGGCCAGGTCTCCCCCGGGGAGCCTCAGGCGGGCTCTGGCGCGGAGCAGCGCACTCTGGTCAGGACGGGGCCTCACCGAGGGCAGCGAGGAGGCACCACTGATCCCCAGCTTAGCCAGAGCCTCATCCTTAGGGTTGTTTTTCTTTAGGAAGATCAGGGGGGGCTTCCTGAGAGAAGGAAGGGGTCAGGAGTCCACACGGTGACTCTGGGCAGTGGGCAGTCCTGGCCATCCTCCCCCTCCCCACCGCCTCCGGGGTGCACCTGGGCGGCTGCACAGGCACGGGCACGGGGCCTGGGCGGCTCTGGTATAAGCGGATGATGTTGCGGATCTCCCTGCTGGGCTCTGCCTGCCGGGGCTCAGGGTCCGAGCTACGCACCACGGCTCTGCCCTCGGCCAGCCGGCGACCACCGCCAGGCCCCGCCTCTGCGGCTGGCTCAGCCTCAGCCTCCTGTGCAGCTTTGGCCCCATCTTGTGTCAGTGGCTTTTTCTCTACCGGAGGAGGAGGAGGTGACGGCACTGACCAGAAAGAGAGGAAAGACGTGAGACCCTGTGCAGAGCCACGAAGCCTGCCCAGCCCCTCTCCCCACCACCTGCTCTCGGTTCCTCTCCTTCCGGCTCCTCCTTCTGTTCCTCCCCCTGGGGGATCTTCGCCTTGGCCGGAGGCCTCATTGTCTTCACCTTGATCTGCTGCTGCCCTGTAAATGCCCCAGATGGCCCTCGCTATTACTCTCCACCTGGCCTGCCCGTCTGGGCTCCTGGACAGGCCACAATGACCCAGAGGAATAGAGTGCACCCCGCCGTCCCCTGGCCAGGCTGGGGCGGTGGCTGAGTTTCTGTGTGGGATTGCCACCCCAAGGGCCCTCACCCAACTTCTGGAAATAGTCCCATTTCTGCTGGAAGCTCTTGGGCCGCCGGGGCCTGTCTTCAGCCTCCTGTGAGGTCTCCTGTGGCAGGAAGGGGAAGAGAA